TTTAAATAAGGCCGATTTTGGCCAATGACATACCTTCCAAGAAAAGAGAGGGTGGGTGGGCGGGCCTAGTACCTGATAAGATAAGACTGATTTCATCAAATGAGGTATGCTGTAAGAAATTTAATTAAATTATTATAAGAAAATGCACTTTCAAATTCTTTCCAAACAGGAATACCTAGAACTTTAGCTTAGAACCTCAAGATTGTTTTAAATTAAAACAAAAAAAAAAAACCGGGGTCCCAAAATTGACTCAAAAACAGCTCAGGTCACAATTTTCCAAAAACAAATGTGGGCGGGGCTTATATTTTGCCTTTTTTTCTTATATACATAACCATTTTTCACAACAACTTAAAACATGATTAAAATAGTACATTTGTACAAGCAAATATGGAAATTAATTTTATGAGGCGGGGCCTAATTGCAAAGTCGATATATCCTCATACAAATTTTCCATTTTAAACATGTTTTAAGTTTCATGTTGTGAAAAGAAGTCTACACATATTAAAACAAAAAGACAAAATGTAAGCCCGCCCACCCACCCTATCTCGATTGTGATGATTTTTTCTATTCGCCGTGAACCAAGGGGGGTGGAGCTGAATTGCAAAATCCTTATTTCTCTACAAGAAATAAAAAACATGTTTTTGAGTATCGCGTTGTTCAAAGAATACTATATACATATATTAAGAAAAAAAGGGAAAATATAAACCTCGCCCACCCACCCCACCTCATTTGTGATGATTTTTTTAATTCTTAGAAACTTAAAACACGTTTAAAATGGTAAATTTTTTTAGTATCTGCTAAGAAAAGACTGATTTTGGCAAATCACATACCTTCCAAGAGAAGAGAGGGTGGGTGGGCGGGGCTAGTACCTGCTAAGGTAAGACTGATTTTGTCAAATGAGGTATACTGTAAGAAATTTACTTACATAAATTATTATAAGAAAAAACACTAGAGGCTCCAATGCACTTTCAAATTCTTTCCAAATATGAATACCTAGAATCTTAGCCTAGGACCTCAAGATTGTTTTAAATTTTCAAAAAAAAAGTGGTGGCGAAGTTTGTATGGGAAAAATATTTCTGTTGTAAATTTTTACGTTGAACTTGGGATTAATACTCTTCAACACAAATAATGAAACACGGATTTCAGATTTTTTCGAGATTCCACCCCTAAGAAGATGAAAGGGAAATATATTTTTGCGTCGATTTTTGCTGGAAACTTTGTATTAATGCCCTTCAACACATTTTTCACTTGAAGCTTGGTAGAGATGTTCTTCAACAAGATGTCTTTTTGTACCATCATGACTATGACCAGTGGTTGGAAGTAATAGAATTATAAGTAATTCAATTTCTTTTTGAGTAATTCAGTCACTTTTACAATTACTTTTACCCAAATATTCAAAAATATTGTTTTGTTTTTTCTCTACGAATCGTTTACCTGACCTGGGATTATTATACCTGGTTCGCCCCCACAAAGACAAGATTAACCCAGTAGGGACTTAAAATCTAAAACGAGTTTAGCATAGAATTTATTAAGAAACCAGGTAACCATAATATACATAAGCTCTTCATCATTTTAAGGGTGAGCTAAGCATATTCCAGCATAGGGAAATGCATTTAAACTTCTGCTCAAGTTTTTTTCAAAAGTATACGTCCGATTGTAATAAATTTCACACCATTGAAATGAGCGTAAAAAACCCTACCCAGACTGCTCTTCCGCTTTTTAAATTTTGTTATAAAAAAAACTACAACGCGTTAAAATTGTGATGAGTATGAGATTGTCTATTTATGGATCAATTTTAAATTTTCAAAAAGGTACATTAGTAGAAATTGTATCAGAAATAAAATATCTTAATAAATAATTGAGTAAACAGGGGCAGAGTATTTAAATTTTGTGGTCAAACAAACTTTAGCCATTTTTCTGGTCCATTCAAATTTTATGAGCGTGTCCACCAATGCAAATTTTTGTTTAAAAGTTGTTCACTAAATTCTTCAAAGTGCAAAAAGTAATTGTTAAAGTAATGCATTACTTTTTAAAAGTAATTTGTAGTTATTTACGAACATTAATCGGACTGTTACGGGTGGTTATGGTCATGAATATTTTTACATTTTCAGAAAATACAATGTGATAACCCAATCTTCCCGCCTTAAAATTTGACCTTGAAACAGTTTGAAAGGCCCGCGAAAATTCAAAAATTCAAAGTTTGGCCTTGGCTGTGATCGTCTAACAAATGAGAACCTACGTTGTGTTTTTTTTTTTTTTTTTTGCTTTTGAAAAATGGCGGGAAGAAGTTCTTTCATACAAGTGCATACACTGTCGAGAGCGCAAGAAATAATAGACAGAAATTGTTTTGGAGGGGGGGAAACGGCACCACCCTCACAGGGGGAAAGGCGCTGCGAAGATTTACCCCTCAGCGCAAAAACCCCCTTGGTTTTATTCCCGGACGACATTTTATTACATTTCAAACACCTTAAGATATGTGAAAGAAAAACACTCGCGAATTGACTGAAAGAAAAACACTCGCGAATTGACTGGAAGAAAAACACTCGCGAATTTACAGACATACACATATGAAAAACGAACAAATGGAAAATTCTATAAATCTGTTTGGAATCAATGCAAATATTTGAATATCATAAGTTTAATAAACAAAGCAAAAACTGAATCAAGTAACTGGATGCAAATACACAAGTTATTACAGGCGTGTGGCGGCCGATCTCTTTTCCCCTTTTTTTTTTTGTTACGGCAGTTAACAGGAGCACAAGAAAAGTACCCCTGGAGCGTTGTGGCATAAGCGGAGTCTGAGCTACCGGTCTGGAACTGTTCTCCCCCCGCGACGGTGATTCTATCTATCGCAAAGCCTACCCCACACGCATATCCCATGACGAACTTTGCCCTGCGGAACTAGGCCATTACGGTCGTCCAACCCGCAAAGATCTCGACTATTGGGCCAAATCGAGAAATTCACAACGTCGGCGGCCGCCCCCTGAATCTATCCAAACCTGTGGACTTGTACAGGTGGCGCGATAAATCTCGCCAGCTCGACTAGGAACCAAACCTCGCTTCTGCCACGTTTTCTGTGTCATTTAACCTCAATTCCATTTTAAAACATTCAATCTCTTATAACTCTGATGTTAACAACAACTGAACAAGTGTTAAAGTTTCAAAGAGCAATAAACAACATTTAAATTCGCCATACAATCTTGTGAAATCTTAAACAACAAATAATTCTTATGTGGGATTAAAGTTGGACATCAAATAATTTATATGATAGAAAACATTCATCAACAAAGTATTTACAAAACAAAACTTAGCAAGGATTTATGAGACGAAAGATCTGGTGTGAAATAAACTTGTACAAATAGAAACACTATGTGAGGTTAAAACTGTAGAACATGAAATTTACGTTCAATTAAATTTATACAACAAATAAAATTACTGAGGTTAAGATTGTGAGATTAAGAAATATAGTATGATGTGAAAATTGCAGAGTTAACATAATTTACAGGAGATTAATATTTGCCACACTTTATCAACGGTTCAAACAAAGAGTTTACATTATGCCAAATTATATCATGATCTAAATGATTGGTTACTTCAAAAATAATTTACTTTGAGAAGTTAAAATACTACGAACTGGTTACCCCAACAAAACACATAATAAACAAATACAAAAATATCCAATCATCGCTCCGAGGGAAAAAGCGTCTCGGTGATGTATCCAAAATCGTTGCGAGGAAAAAGCGTCTCGGTAACGTAAATTTTCTGTAGCGTTGGGGGCATGCCTTAATTAATTAATCAATCTGGCGTTGCGAAACATGCCCCGATGAATTAATCGTGATAATGATGATAACCACCTGAGGGGAGAAAATATCATAACCCCCCCGCCAGTCCGCAGTATAATGAACTTGTTTAACTGCCGTAAATGAACTATTAGCAATCTTGTGTGAAGAATTTAGAAGTGTTATAATGTAACACTTACGTATATGCATCCAGAGACCTATTCGTAATTAAACATAAGGTGTTTTTCCTGACTAAGTGAATTTCATGAAATCTTCTAGCAAATGGTTCATTTAAATAATCCTAATTGTTAAATTGTGTTTGCTCTAGCTGAGTATTAAGAAAAAGTAGCTTGATTTGTGAATTTTCAAACAAAGAACAGATTCACAACACGTGTTCGCGTCCGACCGGAAGTCTGCAATTTTCGATTAAAAGGGCGCAAGAATTTACCGCGCGGGTTGGGGACAACTGTATCAGTATGAAAAATACGTTTGATCGTCGTTAAACAAAGGCTTCCTCCCGTTTTATTAACTACCAAACCAACTAATTTAAACCTAGCTCTTACCACGTGGTCACACACACACAGCCACATTCGTAATGAATCTACCATGCGGTTTTTCTACCAACCCTCTAACTGAAATTACCCTAGCGCTACGTGCTGCCACCTACTCAAAGATCATGCAAACTAACCCCTAAACGCTACGTGCAAGAGACCTTCCATGCATATTTGGTTGCCTATGTTTAAGGAGTTCCTTTTTGTGATTGAACTCTTTTTTTTTTCAAATTAAAATTATTCAAATGTGATTTCGCGCCGTTGTCAATTAATTTCAGCGCGAAAACTTTGATTTAAATTCGGTCACCACAACAATTTACCAATATTTTAAAATCTTTTTTAAGAATCCACAGTTTATTGTTACAGTTTTTTTGCATAAAAGATTTTTAAATTCCGTTAAATACAAAGCGATTTAGATTTAAAAATATGGAAAAAAGACAGCCTAAACCAATACATCTCATATCTTTACTAAACAATATACAGATATTCCAGATTTTGAAGTTTTTTTAAACAATAAAAAAATGGAGGGGTAGGCCTCAGAGCAACACTAATAACTGACATGCTGACTTTTCAAAACGATAATGTACATTTACACCGGTGACCCCACTTTCTGCACTTTTGCATAGTTGGTTGCCTAAAATTAAAATCGAAATTTTCAATAAATCAGCAATAAAATAAACAAAAAGTGTATTTACACGAGTGCCTCAAAAATAACACAAAATCAATGAAAAAAATCTCAAATCTAATCTTCATAACACATTAATACTGGCAATTCTCCTGAGGAACATCTTTCCTATCAGTCACCACAAATTGCACATCAGCCCCCACATTCTCAGCTGGCGCTGTCTGTCGTCCCAAATACCGACACATGAGATCAGAAATTCCTGGATTAAGTGTATATTTTTTCTTCCCGCCCCTCATCCTGTTGGCAAACAAATCATAGCGCTCAGTTTTCTTCCACAAATAATAAAACTGAACCAATTCACCCACGTGCCGGGTCGTCACTCTGTACTTCTGTATAAGAAAAAAATTTTTCCCAAAATTTAGTATTCCTTTTTCAAAATTGCGACACTCCTCCTCGCTCCAAACACTCTGTGCAGTTTTGGAAGTAAGATTTGAACTGAGAGCTTGAAATGCGCTTTCAACATCATGCCGGTTTTTTTGTAAGATGTAGAGGGCTTCTTCATCATCTCGGAGGTGATTGCCCATGGGGATGAGGAGCTTTGTTACTGATGATATTCGTCTGAGGAAATTATCCACACTGTCTGCGTCCATAACAAACGGATCCCACAGGAGTTCATCATCACAACCATAATCCCCCACATCACTCAAATATTTGGGAATGCGAGCTTGGTAATGATTACCAACGCGAGCTTTCTTTCGGTACTGGTCATCTGAGTCACTGTCTTCTTCAGAGTTTTGGGCGAACTTTGTTGATAATTGGTCAAGCGATTCACTTATTTGTTCCTCAATTTGCTCAGAATAAATAGAGTTTCCGTTGATTTTAGAGCTGTAATGATCCTCTAAAGGCACTAAGTTCTCTTCCAACACTGACTTGAAACTGAATTCTTGTTCTCCACTCACTGTTCCGCTTGAGGAAGAACTGAAATACTTTACGGAGGGGCCACTGTCTTCATCTGAAAATGGAACTTCCGCCATTATTAGGGTTTTACTTGGTTTTTGTGGTTTCCATGATTTTGGTCAGCCGCTAGAAATAGGTTTTAAAATATTACGAGTTTTTGTAAATGAGTTTTGTTCTCATACTCACGTCTTGCTTCTGTTATAAATTATAAAGAACGCATGGTTTTTAAAATAAAGTAGTGTGATTGTCGATCACGTATGAAATATAATTATTTGCTCGTCGTATTATTGTTAATTTTGTGGCATAAATAACAGACTTATAGATGAGTGCGGAAAGCTGCTGCAGTTCGAGGTTATAAACAATAGAAATAGCGGGAAATTTGAATGTCACCACTGTTATTTTCCAATTTTACATGTACAACTGATAGCGTTATGTAATTGCAAACATGTTAAAAAATAAGTTTTTGTTTTGCACTTAGGTAAAATTAAATATAAAAAAAAAATCAGTTTGTCCCTGGACCACAAGCAAAATATTGTATTGCTTGAATCAGTTCAATTTTATACTTTACACTTTACATATCTACAGGTTTTTTACTTATTTATTTTTTAGCCAGCTGGGAGCTAACTAACGTTAGTATCTCGGAATTAAGAAAAATCTTATATACTGCTGTTGAGAAAGTCGTTCAGACAAAAAAATTAACAAAGAAAACGCACCAAAAAAACAAAAAGCAAAAAGATGACAAAACGTTGACGAAAGGGAAAGATAAAAAATGTGATAAAAAAGCGGAAAAAAGGCTATAAAAAAATGACCCAAAAAAAAAGAAGAGAAAAAAATCTCGACAAATGTCAAAAAAAAAATACAAAAATGCGACAAAAAATGAGCAACAAAAAACAATAACAAAAACAAAAAGAACGAAAATAAAATCCACATAACAAAAGGAAGGGGGAAGGTTGACAAAAAAAGCACAAAAAAAACAAGACGACACAAAAAAGGGCGAGGAAAAAATCCACCAAAAAAAGAAAAAAAAATTGAGGATTCAAAAAAGTGACAAAAAAGGTGGCAAAAACAACGAAGAAAAGTGTTAAAATGGGGAGCCAAAAAGAAACAACAAAAAAGTCTAAAAAAAGAAGATAACAATAATCGAGGAAAAATCAAGCAAAACATGTTACAAAAAAGAAAAAGTCCACAAAAAATGAGGCAACAAAAGCGATAAAAAAAGTCCACCAAAATAAATCGACAAAAAAAAAATTAACAAAGAAAACGCACCAAAAAAAAATGCGACTAACAAGAGGCAAAAAGATGACAAAACGCTGACGAAAGGGAAAGAAAAAAAATGTGACAAAAAAGCGGAAAAAAGGCTATAAATAATGACCAAAAAAAAAAAAAGAAGAGACAAAAATAACGACAAATGTCCAAAAAAAAAATACAAAAATGCGACAAAAAATGAGCAACAAAAAACAATGACAATTCCTAAAAACTGCAGCAAAAAGGGGAGAAAGGGCTGAAAAAACGCGCACGAAAAAAGAAACAAAAAGAACGAAAATAAAATCCACATAAAAAGATTGGAGGGGGAAGGTTGACAAAAAAACACCAAAAAACAGACGACAAAAAAAAAGCGAGTAAAAAATCCACCAAAAAAAAAGGGGATCCAAAAAAGTGACAAAAAAGGTGACAAAAACAACGAAGAAAGTGTGAAAATGGGGAACCAAAAAGTCTAAAAAAAACAACAAAAAACGAGGAAAAATCAAGCAAAAAATGTCTACAGAAAATGGGATCAAATAAAAGATCATTTTTTTGTATTGTAAACAAGTTCATTAGATTGGATAAACATCCCCAGCAACAATAAGATGACGTCATCTCCAAAATTTACATTAGAAAATATTATTTCAATTTTATAAAGTAAGATAATCCAGCACATGTGGTTTATGAATCCGTGTTCAGTTTTATTTAACTCTCGATAATCAGATTTTTGCAATAAAAACAAAATTCTGTAACAACAAAACTGAAAAATTATAACTATTATTAAGTACATATTAAAATGAAAATTGAAATAGAAACTGAAAAATCTAAATATTGAAAAACCAAAAAAACTGAAATCCGAAAAATTACAAATCGAAATATTGAAAAATCCAAAATGTTAAATTTTCACATTGAAAAAAGAAAAATTATAAAATCACAACACTGAAAAATCGAAAAATTGAATTATCAAAAATTGGAAACTCGTGAAATTACAAATCGAAAAATTGCAAAAACTAACAACTGAAAAAAGTTGGAAAATTGAAGAACTGAGAAAATTATAAAATGAAAATTCGAATAGTTGCAAATCGAAAAATTAAAGAAACAAAAGAAAAAAGAAAAATTGAAAAATTGCAAATCGAAAAGTTGAACAAACGAAAAAATGAAACAACTGAGATTGAAAAAAAAAATGTAGAACATAAATGACTGAAACGAAAAACTGCAAATCGAAAATTTGAAGAACCAAAAAATTGGAAAATTAAAAACTGAAAACTCAAGAAATTTTAAATTGAAAAATTACAAAATCTAAAATTTGAAAAACTGATAAATTGTAAGATTTAAATATTCAAGAATTTGAAACTCGTGAAATTATATAATTAAATTGAAAAATTACAAAATCCAAAAACTGAACAATTTAAAGATGAAAATAGTTACAAATCGTAAAATTGAAGGAACAAAAAAATGAAAAATTGCAGATCGAAAAACTGAAAAAATTGGGGCTCAAAAATTCAAAAAATTATAAAATCGCAACACTGAAAAATCGAAAAATTGCAAAAATGTAGAAAATAAAAAACTGAAAACTTGAAAAATTTTAAATTCAGAGAAGACCTAAAAGCCGCTAAAATGGGAAGAAAATGCACAAAAAAATTGAGGACACAAAAAATTATAAAAAGAATATGACAAGAAGTGTAGTAGAGAAACAAGGATTTTCCGCCCCCTTGGCTAACGACGAATAAAAAAATCATCACAATTGACACAGGTCTTTTCTTTTGGTTTTCTTTTTTAATTAATTCATTTAGTTTTCTTTGTATCACACGATTACTTAAGAACATATTTCACATCGTATTTTCTCGTAGAAAAATAAGGATTTTACAATTAAACTCCGCCCCTCGGCTTGCGATAAGTAAAGAAATTATCACAATTGAGATAGGGCGGGTGGGCGGGGTTTATATTTAGCTTTTTTTCTTAATATACCTACGTAGTCGTTTTTTCAGAAAAGAAACTTAAAAACATGTTTAAAATGGTAAATTCTTGTAAACAAATGTGGATCTTGCAATTAAGCTCCGCCTCTCGATCTGACAACGAATGAAAAATTTATCACAGTTGAGGATTGAGATCGTGGCGGGTATGAGTACACATTAATTTCCGCACCCGTGCCGACCAATCACAATAAAGTATATCGGCGCTAAATTCGAATATTATTGCCTTCATCTTTGTGGTCTGAGCTTTTTTTAATCCACATCGATTTTTGCAGTTTTTAAGATTCTTAGCTTTTCGATTTTTGGATTTCTTAGTTTTTCGATTTTTATTTTGGAGTTCTTGCATTTCTTAATTTTTTGTTGTCGATTTTTCGGTCCCGATTTTTCGATTTTTCCAGTTTAAGATATGTTTATTTTTTGATTTTTCAATTATTGACTTTTTCGTTATCCGATTTTTTAATTTCGCTATTTTTTAACATTGCGGTATTTCAATTTTTTTTATTGTTCACTTTTAAGATTACAATTTTTAAATTTCTCGGTGTTTCAAGTTTCGTTTTTTCTATTTTTGATTTTCAATTTTGCAGTTGTTCGATTTTTCTGTTTTTTGAATTTTCAGTTTTTTTATTTTTAAGGTTACAATTGTTAACCTCTTAATTATTCGATTTTGAGTTTCTTTATTTTTGCAGTTCTTCGATTTCTCAATTTTTAAATTGTTCGGTTTTTCAATGTTTCTTTTTCGATTTTTTGATTTTTTTAAATTCGGTTTTAATAAATTTGTCCTTTAGTTGAGAAATTAACAAACGAAAAATCGAGAAAATGTAAAATAAAAAATAAAGTAATTCCAAATAAGGATTAATTTATTTCTTCGATTTTTTGATTTCTCAATTCGAGATTTTTATATTTTTCGTTTTTTTAATTGATAATTTTTCGATTTTTCCGTGTTTCGTTTTTACATTTTTCGACTTCTCTATTTTTCAGTTTTTCGATTTTCATTATGAAATTGTTGGATTTTTCAGTAAAATTTTTGTATTTTTCGATTTTTTAATTTGTAGATTTTAATTTTTCGATTTTCTAATTTGCTTTTTAATTTTTCAATTTTCTATCTGTTGAATTTTACAATTTTTCATTTTTTCGATTTTTCAATTCCTCGATTTTTATATTATCACTTTTTCAGGTTTGAATGTTACAAATTTTCGATTTTACAGTTTCTATCTTTTTCTCAATTGTTCCATTTTTAATTGCTTTTTTCGTTACCCAATTTTCGGTTTGCCAATTTTTTCAATTTTTCGATATTTTAAGTTTGGTTTTTCAATTTTTCCATTTTTAATTTTTTTTTCCAAATTTACAATTTTGTAATTGTTTCATTTTTAAATTCGTCAATTTTTAATTTTTCACTTTTTTCAAATTATTGTTAGGGTTTTTATTATTCAATAGTATAATTCTTGGCTTTTCCATCATCCGATTTTTCAGTTTCTGTATATTTTCAATTTTTAGATTTCTCCACTTTAAAATTTTTCGGTTGTACGTAAGCGAAGAAAAATTTTGTTGCCTCGGTGGAAATCGAACCTCATGCTTCCCGCTTTCCGGGTAGGTATCCTGACCACTAGACCACAACAGACGTGTTATTATTGTGCCGACACACGGTTTTTCAGTGTTTCGTTTTTTCCATGTTCCAATTTTTTAATTTTTCCATGTTTCGTTTTTACAATTTCTTAATTTTTTAGTTGTGGCGACTCATTTTTGATTATTTACAATGAAAACGTGGTATTTTTTACTACAAACGTATTGCAGAATTGTCTGCATAGTTTCTCAGTGGGAGAAATCGTCATCTGTCATGAATATAAAAAAAATGTTTTAGGCAAACCCCACGTACCTTTAACTGCAGAATCCGAATCTGTAATAAAAATTCTGGGCTCCTATTTAAGATTTGAAAGTTTCTAGTTTTTTGGCACCAAACTATTCCCCTATGGAATGATTACATTTTGAATCTGGACATTTTTTTGTAGAGTGCTTATTTTCGACATATTTAAAAGTTTCAGGTTAAAAAACACCCTGTATATACACGATTTGCGGCACCACATCTGTCGTACATACGAAGGAAAGCCTCTTTGGAAAGCGTTATTGGAATTTGACGAGCTCTGAAACGAGTTCTTCATTTGTATGTCAGAGTGACTGCCAGACTGCACGGCCCAACTTCTTAGCGCCTTTGGCGATA